AGTCGCAGTGGAGTTATTCGCAAAAAAATTAAGCATTCCATGTTGACTGTCTGAAGAGAAAAGAGAAATTTCCAGCATCCATTATGGGGCAGTATGTCATCAAAAGGAGTAGGAAAACGTCATTATTATTATTGATGGAAATGTGGATACAAACAAATATTTGGCAATTTTAGAAGAATCGCTTTTACCAGTGATGGAAGAATGTTTGACATCCGGCCAAGATTTTGTGTTCCAGCAAAATGGTGCAGCGTGCCATACCTCAAAAAAGGCAATAAAATGGATGGAAGAAAATAATGTACCACTTTTGAGATGGGTTTCTAGCAGTCCAGATCTGTCACCTATTTAAACTTTGTGGCACGAGATGAAAAAGGTTCTACGACAACATCCTGCTCGTACAATCACCGAACTGAGATAAAAGCTTCAAGAAATATGGGATTGTTTTACACCAAATTTTTGCCAAAACTTGGTTAACACTATGCCCTAAAGAATTTCAGCCGTAATAAAAAATAAAGGTGATGTTACCAAATGGTAATTTTTCAATTGTTGCTTTGTTAACTTCGCGCATTTATTCGCACATTGTTTATTTGTTCAGATGTTCTATTAGTTATAGGTCTAAGTGATTTCAAATACAGTAATACCCCGACTTACGCTACCCCGTTTTACGCGAATTCGGAGATACGCGGTTTTTCATTTTGATTGCCGCGCGCAGCGCGCATCGGCTCTCTCGCTCCGCGCGCGCATCGGCTCTCTCGCTCCGCGCGCGCATCGGCTCTCTCGCTCCGCCCACTCAGTGTTCAATTTGCATCAGGTTTAAACGTGTTTCGCGTGCAATTGTTTTACGTGCGCAGTGCGTTTTACTTATAATCTCTAATTATGTCGTCTAAAAGAACAAAAAATGAGTCATTTGAGCCTAACAAGAAAAGAAAAACACTGTCTTTGGAGTGTAAACTGAATATAATTAAAGACTTTGAAGCAAAAATGAAAATTTGTGAATTGGCGAAGAAATTTGACCTTCCGGAATCAACAGTCCGAACGGTTGTAAAAGGTAAAGAAAAAATTATGAACGCTGTGAAAGACTCTCAATCTTTGAATTCAAGTATCATCCGTAAGCGTCACGGTATTATCGCACAGATGGAAACATTGCTACAGTCATGGTGTGATAATCAAGTAAGAGTGAAAAATTGTCCTGTTGATCAAAATACAGTGTGCTTTCAAGCAAAGCAGATTTTTGAAAAACTAAAAGAAGAAGCTGGGGAGGCGGCTGAAAATGAAGTGTTTAAAGCTAGTAACGGCTGGTTCAGCCGATTTAAGAGTCGTTGTAATTGGCATAGCATCGCAGAGAGTGGAGAAGCGGCAAGCGCTGATAAAGAAGCTGCATCTCTCTATCCAGAAAAACTCAAAACAATGATAGATGAAGGTGGCTACACTAGCCAAACTATTTTCAACGTAGATGAAACAGGTCTTTTTTGGAAGAAAATGCCTAAAAGAACTTTTATTGCGCGTGAAGAGAAAACTTTTCCAGGTTTTAAAGCCGCCAAGGATCGATTAACAGTGATGGTTGGTGCGAATGCAGCTGGAGATTGTAAATTAAAACCTCTCTTAGTTTATCGCTCAGAAAATCCAAGGGCCTTAAAAAATAAATCCAAAGCTGGTTTGCCTGTCATTTGGAAGTCTAATGCGAAAGCTTGGGTGACAGCTTCTCTTTTTGAAGACTGGTTTGGCCATCATTTTATTCCTGAAGTCGAACGTTACTGCCGATTAAAAGAAATCCCATTTAAAGTGATGCTACTAATTGACAATGCACCAGGTCATCCTCCCGCAACTCTAATTAATTTCGATCCACGTGTGGAAGTTGTATTTTTGCCACCAAACACTACCAGCTTGCTTCAACCAATGGACCAGGGAGTCATTAAAACATTTAAAGCTTACTACACAAGGCGGTCATTTGCACATCTACATGAAGCTATGAGACAAAACAATGAGCTTTCTGTTAAAGACTTTTGGAAGCAATTCAATGTTTTAGATGCTGTAAGAATTATTGGACAATCTTGGAATGAGGTTTCACAAAAAACTCTCAATGGTGTCTGGAAAAAACTGTGTCCATTTTTTTTCACCTCTGAAACTCAAGGAGAAACCATTTCAGATCCTGAACAAATCGATAGCATAATAGAAGAAGTGGTCGATATCGCCAAGCAATTAAATTTAGAGGTCGATAATGATGACGTTCAAGAATTGCTAGATTCACACAATCAAGAGCTAACAATTGACGAGGTTATAGAAATGCGTAAGTATGAGCAAGACATTGAACAAACTGATTCGCTAGACCCAGTTGAATCGGTAAATCAAATGACAATTGCAAACTTAACAGAAGGACTCAATTCAATTGAAAAGGGGTTACAAATTTTAGAAAAAATTGATTCTAATGAAGAACGCGTGTCTACTACAAAACGAGGGATAAAAAAATTACTGGTATGCTACGAGGAAATTTTACGTGAAAAGAAGAAAAATTTAACTCGTCAGGCAACATTGTTAGAATATATAAAGCCTTCGACATCAAAATAACTTCGGTTTAGCTTACTTTATTCATAACAATGTAATTTTTTTTATTATCCTACACTTTATTAAACATTTTTCTTCTAAATTATTGTTTTCTTTAAACTCTGGTCCCGATTAAACAAACTTTATATGTACATATTTATATGCAACATTGAACCCCGACTTACGCGAATTCGACTTACACGGCAACCGTTCGGACCCACCTATCGCGTAAGTCCGGGGTATTACTGTATGTATTTTTTACGACTAGAGTGTATCTAAAATGTTTTTGAGAAAATAAATTGTTTTAGAAGTAAATAGTTTCGTCATGTTTAGTTTATAAAGGCATATTTTGGTGCAAATCTTGAAGTGGGCCAACTGAAGTGGGAAGGGGCTCGTATATGATCTTCATCCATATAAAAACTATTATAGTATTGAGCCTGGCAAACTAAGCATGGTGAAAGCCCATTACGTGTTGTCATCAATGAAATGAGACAACATGACCTGGCGAAGTGGCAGTTATTTTTAGATGGCCTGTCAATTTACTTGTATGGTTTAAGAAAATCGCCGAGCACCAGAGGCGTGTCTTTTAATTATCTTGAGGGCCATTCACTAATTAACCAAATCTTCATAGATAAATAAAACATTTAATGGTTTTGTCGAAATATTTAATACTGCAGTCATGAGGCGTGTCATCACAGTAAATAGGTAAATGTAGCAAATATACACATTCTAGTAACAAAAGATCCGGCTAGTTTTAGATATACGGAGTGTAGTAGTTACAATGAGCAGCAAATCTAAGGAGCTCGTCCGGCAGGCCTAACTCCATGACGGAATTGTGGAGAAAAACTTGCAGGAGCAACGTCCGTTGGCATATCGCTAAAGGAGATTTCTGGCCTGGAGTGATACTTTCGAATCTGGCAAGCTATATTTTGCATTCGACAATCTTTCAAATGAATGCCGCGTTCCAAGTTTCTTAACTGTTCAAAAAAATGCAAATAACAAAGTAGGAGTTCGCTTGAACATACTTTTTTCTTAGGCCCGTATCGTCAGTCGTCCCTACAATTGTAGGGCGCCTTTATGGCCTCCTTGATTGTCATAGTTTTCTATTTTTCCATGTCAGTGCTCTATTTTGAGGTTATGTCACAAACATCTATTTGCATCAAATTGTGCTTGCTTTTGAGTTATATCATGTTTTATCAGCCTGAAATTTCCTACAATTTAAAAGGAAAACATATCTTCACAATAGGAGAGCGCTGACGCTGACACGGGACAAGTGTAATCTAGAAATTTTTGAAGAAGAGAAAGGACAATCAAGGAGGCCATAAACGCGCTCTACAATTGTAGGGACGACTGACGATACGGGCCTTAGTTATTGACCACCTTTCTCCGACACACGTCTTAAAATAAAATAACTTCACAAAACTGACAGCACTGTGACAAACGATGACAAGCAATGCCGATGTCAAGACGAGGACACCAATCTACTGAAACGTTCGATATCCAACTACCACGAAGGCCTAAGCCTAAACACCCTTGGGGTACCGTGGTGCTATAGGGGGAAACAGGGGAAAGGGGTGGCCGCCACACGGCCCCTGGCGAGGGAACACGTGTGCATACAACATGCACACATTATGGCCTCGCCTACGAGATCTGCTGGGTGGTACCTCCGCGTTCGGCAGTCAGAGACCATCTACCACCTACGGATAATCACAACATCCGTAGTCAAGAGAAAAATTTCTCTTGGTACGGGATTCGAACCCCCACAGCGCACGGCGACTGATCAGGGGACAGAAGAGTCTACCACTGCGGCCACCGCTCCTGCTATGACCGAAAAACGAGGCAAAATTTAGGTTTTTTCACTTGTTGGTAATGCGACGATGATTTCCCGCAGCTACTGGAAATTTTTCAAATCCGTAGGATTCATACTTCTGAATAGCAACAGCAAAATTGGATTATATTGGTCAGGTAGTTTTTTGAGAATTTCTAGTTGTTCAAATTAATTACCTGCTCCTGATATGATTTTATGAAAGTTGAGGAAAAAGTATCAGAAGGTTATTAATCCCAAAATAGTCCTTATTTGATCATGGTTCTTTAATATCTTTTAACTAAATTGCATTTGTGTATGATAAAGAAGTATAGAAGTATTTTATAGAAAAAATGAACAAAGTATAACCTTATTTGTACATGTAGCTAAAGACAATTGAAAAGGTTCGTTTTTTTTAAATTTAAGAAAAAATCAATATCTCAAAAACGGTGACACTTTTATATAGGTAACTTTTTGTTATTTGGGAGGTCAGTTGAAAGCCTCCCTTCTCCTTAAGTTTATCGTGGTACTTATTGAACACACTGTATATTATGTAAGTCCCTATCAAGCAATTTATCATGTATAAAGCATACAGATAGCACACCCAATGCCCAATATTTACCTTGTCGGTTTATACTCGTATGTAAAATATTTGCAGATATATCCAGCGATATCCGGTTTATTTTGCACGTCCATGCCTTTACGAGAAGACCAACTAGAATTTCCTGCGAAGAAGTTAACGACATATGCTATATTTAGCCAGCATGTTGGTCGTAATGCTAGAAATGCTACCAGGGGTACAATAACCTTCCAGTAAATTAGATCTTTAGAGATGCCAAGATAAGCCTACTCTTAAATACGGAGATGCGGCGTCTGTGTTGTCTTCAGTATTTGTTATTTGCTCTTTTTAAACGCATTGGACATTTCTTGCACGCTATGCTATGTTCCACAGTTACTCGGCTCAACGTTGATGCTTTGGTGTTATTAACCTCCAGGATTGGTAGACAGATAGGAGAGAATCTATGAGGAACTAAAGCTATCCCCAAACATTTAATCTTCTATGATTAGAGTGACTTAGATATTTTGTACTGCGCGTGTGTAATCCAGAGACGCGGTAATTTAATTACAGATCACTTTTCACTCTCATTTTTATACAGGGTGTTCATTTGAAAACTTCCCACCAGGAATTTATCGAAAACCAATGATTAAACCAAATAATACGATTTTTTCTCCGCATTCTTTTCATCAACACAAATATCCTTCGCGAACTGTATTTATTGTTATACCTGTTTAGCTATTTGTTGCTAAGTGAAAGAAAGAATTTAATTTGCTGTCAGTTACCTTTGTGACATTCTTGGGATAGTGAAAATTCATTGATTCAGATTTTACTTCCCAAAATGGTTTACACTCTAACCGAAAGAGTGGAAATGATTCAAATTTATGGTGGCCAAAATCAATGTGCTCGGCAAAAGGAAGATAACTTCGAATATGTATGCTTTGAACCTTGTTACTAAATTTACCCAAACTGGATCTGTTGCAAATAAAAAACGTGATCATCGTAGAGTTTTAGATGAAGCCGCTCAAGTTGAAGATTTGGCTCGTTTTGGAATAAATCCTAATACTTCATTACGGAAAATTGTTACTGCGACTGGTATTTTATTAGGCTCTGTACATACAGTTATTAAACTCCATAAATTTATTTCATCCATTCAAAATGAAAATATTGCAGGAGTTAGTCGAAGATTTTTTCGATAGGCGAGTTGAGATTTGTGAACAAATGGCTGCCACAATTAACGATAATACGAGCCCCTTCCCATTTCAGTTGGCCCACTTCAAGATTTGTACCAAAATATGCCTTTATAAACTAAACATGACGAAACTATTTACTTCTAAAACAATCTATTTTCTCAAACACATTTTAGATACACTCTAGTCGTAAAAATACATATTTGAAATCACTTAGACCTATAAACTAATAGAACATCTGAACAAATAAACAATGTGCGAATAAATGCGCGAAGTTACCAAAGCAACAATTGAAAGATTGCCATTGTGTAACATCACCTTTATTTTTTATTACGGCTGAAATTCTTTGGGGCACAGTGTTAACCAAGTTTTGGCAAAAATTTGGTGTAACACAATCCCATATTTCTTGAAGCTTTTGTCTCAGTTCGGTGATTGTACGAGCAGGATGTTGTCGTAGAACCTTTTTCATCTCGTGCCACAAAGTTTCAATAGGTGACAGATCTGGAATGCTAAAAACCCATTTAAAACGTGGTACATTATTTTCTTCCATCCATTTTAGAGCCTTTTTTGAGGTATGGCACGCTGCACCATCTTGCTGAAACACAAAATCTTGGCCGGATGTCAAACATTCTTCCATCACCGGTAGAAGCAATTCTTCTAAACTTGCCAAATATTTGTCTGTATCCTACATTTCCATCAATAAGATGAAGTTTTCCTACTCCTTTTGATTACATACGGCCCCAGACCATAATGGATGCTGGAAATTTCACTTTTCTCTTCAGACAGTCAACATGGAATGCTTCATTTTTTTGCGAATAACTCTACTGCGACTGTCACCAACACAAACTTCGAATCGGGCCTCATTACTCCATTGTATTGCACACCATTGTTGAGGTGTCCATTGTCTATGTTCTTTACCCCATCTAAGCCGATTTTTCTTTTGCAGTGGAGTTAATAGTGGCTTTTCTTTGGCCTATAAACAAGTTGTGCAACTTTAGGGTTTTTACTTCACTTTTTTTTATAAGAAAACTTACCTTGCAAGTGCTAAGTCCCAGTTTGTGGGCCTCTCTATGAGTTGTGGACCTCGAAATTCTCCTTCCAACTGCGTCACTACACAGAGCACTTAATTGTAAATAATTGGCACGCCTGGTTTTCACGATTATTCTTCTTAATGCTCTTCGGTCGGCATTTGTGATATTACTTTTTTTCACATATCGTGGCTTAATATTAATTGAACACAGTTACGTTATATCTTCTAACAATATTTCTCACGCTGTACCGCGATAAGTTTAACAAAGCTGCAGTTTCTGAGTTTGATTTCCCAGAATTAAAAAAATTAATTATCAGTAACCGAATTTTCTCACTTATAACCTTTCCTCTACCCATTTTGAAAACCTTAACTACCCAAAACTATTTTAAACGTATTCTGACAGCTGTGATTAATAAAAAAATTGTCATGGCTCTTATTTTTCACAGCCACCTATGCGTTATAGACTTATTTTGCATTGAAATGAAAATAGGTTGATATGCTGTAATTGCAGCATGTGTTATTTTTATGCTGCAAATTTGATTTGATAAAGTTGGTGTTTTCTACTATATATCATCAAAATATTTATTGTTAATATTTTAAACCTATAACACCCTGCTACATTTTTATTAGTTGTGTTTGATAAGAAAAAAACTAAGATTTCAATAGTTGGGCCAACTGAAGTGGCAAGGGGCTCGTACCAGTCATATAAGGAATACCTGCTTCAGTGATGAATGCACATTTTGTCTAAATGGATTTGTTAACAAGCATAACTGCAGGTATTGGTGCAATGAAAATCCTCATGCTTTTGTAGAAGGGCATACTCAATACCCCCAAAAAATTAATGTATATGGGCAGGCATTTTAGGAAACAAAGTGATTGGGACATTGTTAATGGAAATTTCAATGGAGCCATTTATTTGGATATGTTGAAAAATACCATCAATCCGCTTATCACTGAAACCATTGAAAATCTAATCGAAGAGGATGGAAACCCTATACTTGATGAGGCTGAAATATATTTCCAGCAAGACGGCGTTCCTCGTCACTATGTTCTTCCGGTTCGGTAATGGCTAGACGACGAGTTTCCAGATAAATGGATAGGACGAAGAGGGCCTGAAGAATGGCCTGCTAGATCTCCTGATTTGACTCCAATAGACTTTTTTCTATGGTGCCATTTGAAATCTATTGTGATTACTCCCCAACCTGAAAGTTTGGATGAACTTCGTCAACGCATCATCGAAGGCTGCCATGATAACCCACAACATGTTTTTGAAAATGCCCGTCTGGGATTTGAGGATCGCTTGTATCTTTGTTTGGACAATAACGGACAACATTTTGAACACTTATTATTAAATTTACATTTTTGTGTGTTTGTGTTCTCTCTCTGAACAAATTAAGATAAATAAAGATTTTTCTAATTTTCTCGAAAACGAATCGACTGAGTTTAAAAAATCAAAGCCAATACAAAGGACGTTGAAAGACCTTTCAAACAAGCTATTACTCGATACCTCTTGTCATTTAATCTTTTAAGGAAGGCCGAGGGTAAAATGGGTGAAGTAATTTTTGGTTAAAAGGTTGTCCCCCTTGACAAATCTTTTGACGTGCCTCGCTGTTTTTTGTTTAACCAGTGGTTTTCGATAAATCTGTGGTGGGAAGTTTCCAAGTGAACGCCCTGTACGAAAATATCGATGGTAAATATTCACGTTCGGCCTGCCAGAAATATAGACTTTTCGTGGCTCCTATTGGTACCTTGACAATATGTTCGTTCAACAAGATAGGGCTTTGGAATTATCTCATTGTTGCGTCATTTCGCTTATTGGTCATGTTCGGCGACCTGTGTGATCATGTGAACTAGCTCCGCTTGACATTTTTTGTGGTTACTCAAGGATTAGGTTTATCTAAACAAATTGCAGATTAATCTTAAGCAAAATACAACGTCAAGGATCTTGATGTTTCAACCATAATGCAAAAAGAAATTGCACTAGAAAAAAGGTTTTCCTTCGTTGATTTCTAGCTTCCGAAAATGTACATTTTTTTACAGAACGTGCTACATATCTAATTGTATGTCAATTATGAACAATTGCAATGTTATTAAAAATACATGTGGTTCTTGTTAGTAAACAAAATTGTATTTTAAACGTCTTTAGGTCTTGATGAATTAATTGCCAATTTGTATACGTAAGGTTATGGAAAGTTTCTGACTCTGTAAAGTCATAGGTTACTATGCAGGAGTCAGAAAACGTGTACGTATGCAACTGCGTTATGGGTTTTGTGTCTTGTCATAATATAAAGTCTAATTGCAAACTAGATTTCAGGTCCATCAATTCATAGCGCTTATCTACAACATACAATTTTAAACTATCACAATTAGATGACACTAATAAATCTATATATACAAAATTATTATCAGAAATTCTGATGACGACCAAGGTTATTCTAATTTTAACCTACATAGTCAAGACCAGAACAAACCATTTTATGAGCTGTAACAATCGGTGATTAACGATTAATAGTAATAACTAGACGCTTCCCATTTTATATCGACGCATTTCTGTCCACCGTACAAGGAATACGGTTTATATAATATTTTCAGATGGGTGATAATAATGTATAAACACTCTATCGGTTTCTGTAAACCGAAAGTTGAAAAAGAGCACATGCGATTTTTATCGTTTAACATCCTTGATATTTGTTAAACAAAAGGTTAGATATATGTATAGCGAATGCTTAATCATCGGTGCTAAAAAAGGTGCACGCCAGTTATTAGCTTCTGGCTTGTCCCTGACATTTGTAGAAGTTAGAAGCTCACATAGTAGAATTATTTAAAATGGATTACAGATAAATGCGCGTGGGATCTCCAGTGTGCACTGAGGAGAGTAAGAGCGGAGAGTGTTCAGGTTAAAATTTGAAAACTCCCAGTCGATACAGGATATTAGTAGGCACCAGATTGATACCGAGACCACACACAGGGAACTACGGGTTAAGCTGAGATAACTTTAGACAGCTCAAGAAGTCATACGCTGTGGCTATTGAAAAAAGTAGATAGTCGTTCAATCTACCATTTGAGATTCTCACAGACCACAGTAAATTAAAGATAGACGTCCTGCTACAAATAGACAGTGATCGTGCCCCAGCCGCTGATAAATGTGAGACTAGCGTCAAGGCTTGTGACTTTCCTTCGAAGGTCTGGCTGATTCCAGATCAACTTCTAATAGTTCTGTTATTAGTTTTAGTACTGATGTTCGTGGTAATCAAAAACCGCCAAATATTGCCAGTGTTCGACTTCTCACAGTTTCTATTACTTGAACATGCGGAACATCAGTCGGTTCGAATTCATTTGACCTAACCTGCCTAGCACCCGGATATTACAGAACTGGCATTGATTATTTATGTTTTACATCGTGTATCATTGCTACCAGATGTAGTTACGTAACTTGCTCATACAGCTGGCGTTCCACTCTAATAATAATACAATCGACCTAAGTTCAAGCCATTCCAGTAGGTGTTGCATACATAACCTCAAACCCACATGACATCACGTCGGCGGGAATTTTCTTTGTGCTTTGAGATAAAAAATGTTTATCTGGTGTCCATCAATCACGCAATTTCTCAGCTGACCCTCAGAAGTTTAGTACTAGCGGTGTCTAGTGAATACGCTCGTAACGGCAGCAAGTATGTAAAGTTAGGAAGCCAAATATACCGGGGAATATTCAGGGTGTGCTCAGAATTGGGACTTTCCTTTACACAACATATAGATTTTAAAAAAATGAGGGATTTTTCTTAGTACCATATACATCAAAGACTTAAGAAATCCTAGATATTAGGCTCCGCAACATCAGTCTAGCCTAAAGCAAACCTAATCCGCTCCTTATTTACCAATCGCTGCGAAAAAAACGGAATAGACTGGCACACTCGTACAGCATTATCGAACTTGTCGACATAATTTTAATTTATGGTGCGTGTCTTCAAAATGTTACCAAAGCTTCCCGAGTGTATGCAGATCGCTTTCCCAGACTTTAATCTTTTAGGGATTTGTTTACCTTGTGCGAAGATCTGTTTTTTTGAAATTAAGTTACACATGTTACAAGTTACTACTTTTTCCCTATTTTCGTGGATTTCAATGCCCACCACTTGATATGAAGTTTTATACTACCATATAGTCTTTTGATCACAAAGTGTTCTTTTTTGCAATGTACCGCTAACACTATAAGCATTTCTACCGCTCCCACTCACCAATTTTTTTCAATTTAGTTCAGTAGTTGCTACGCACCTCGCCTATACTGGTTTGCATGTTAAACATAATTTAAAAATCACCAGGAAATGTGTAATGTTCGTGCCGAGCGTATGGCGCGAGGATATCAATTAGATAATGATTGAAGGAATGCTTTGTTAAGTCATTGGGTTTGATTAGCCAACTGTTTTACAAGTTCAAAGCATTTGGCATTATAACAGCTGCTATGTTTAGCATCTACACGATAACTTTGAACTTTTTCATTTCGTTATTAAAAGCGTTTACTGGGTCGATCGAATGTAAGTATTATAGCCGTGATGTTTTTCAAATACCTGTTAGGGACACCTCCGCCTAGCATTAGGGGATAAATATCAACCAAGATGATCTATTTAGATAGCAAACAATGCATCTGCCTCGCTTATATTCTATTGCTCTTGGGATAGATGGGTGAGAGTGTGGAGCAGATTGAGTACGATGCCCGAACACAGAGTACAGGGCATATCAAGTCTATTTAGCATGGGTATTTATACTAACTTAAATTATTCGCGTATTTTTCTGTCTGTAAAATGTCTTAAATTTTTAACGTCTTATGATGTCTACATCACGGCAGTAGCAGTCATAATATGGAGAGCAAAGCCTGACAACTAAGCTACCTTTAAGTTTTTCTCTGCCTACCTCGGCCACCTAAGCAAGAATACAGCTAGTATCAAACCTCAATGGAATGGAATTATCGGATCTTTGAAAGGGGATATCAATACCCTAAGCCTCTATGAAACTTTTTCATGTGGAATACCTAAGCTCTAATTGCTTTATACCCATCTCGCTAGTCCAGGAAGTGGAGTGATGTTTCATCCTCCTCCCATCATTTGGAGCAGACAGGATATCTTCCTTATTTTCATAAGGGATATAAAGGGTGTCCCAAAATTAACGCAAGATTTGAATTAAATAGAAAATGCCATTTTTAGTCTTTTAATAGTTATATTTTTATTGACTCATAAAGTACATAGGATAGGGTTATGTATGGAATAACACATCGGACAAATGGCCTCCACGGCTTTGCATGCACATGCGCACTCTTTTGTCGAAATTTTCCATGACCCTTCTGCATAAATGTGGCTGAATTTCGTTGATGCAGCGTTGAATCTCCTCCTTTAATGCACGGGTGGTTGTGGGCTTGTTGACATAGACTTGTGATTTCAAATAACCCCATAAAAAGAAGTCTAATGGTGTTAAATCACACGATCTAGGAGGCCAATTTTGATCACCGAAACGAGAGAGTACACGACCGGGAAATGTCTCATGCAGTAATTGAATTGTTTCACGGGCTGTATGACATGTGGCACCGTCTTGTTGAAACCACATATTGGGTACATCAATATCATGCAATTTTGGCAGAAAGAACTGTGTAATCATGTCGCGATATCGAGCACCAGTAACAGTCACTGCTTGACCAGCATCATTTTCAAAAAAATATGGCCCAATTATGCCTCCAGCCCAAAATCCACACCAGACAGTCACGCGTTGTGGGTGCATTTCTTTTTCGACAATCACACGTGGGTTCTCCGAACCCCAAATGCGGCAATTTTGGCGATTGACAAAGCCATCAAGATGAAAATGTGCTTCATCGCTTAGGATGATTTTGCTTGAAAAATCAGGGTCCATTTGTTGATGTTCAATAATCCATTCAACAAACTCTCTTCTCTCTGCATGGTCATTAAGCTTCAATTGTTGTGTTAATTGAAGTTTGTAAGCATGAAGACACAGATCTTTGGTGAGTATACGCTGTAGAGAGGTTCTTGACATTTGCAATTCTTGTCCACGACGTCGAATTGAGGTTCCTGGATTGTCCGCAACACTCTCACGCACTGCTTCGATATTCACATTTGAACGGCTTGTTTTTGGACGACCAGTGTGTTTGGCGTCTCCAACGGATCCAGTCTCCATGAATTTTTCAATTAATCTCTTCACAGTTGACGAAGTTAAAACACTATTCCGGCCATATTTTGTATGAAATTTTCGAACTGCAGCCGCCAAGCTTTCACTATTTTTGAAATATTCTTTAAAAATGAAGACACGTTGTTCTATCGTGTAACGCTCCATTTTTCATAACCCTATACTGTTAGCTGTCAAATTGCTTTTTTTCAGGGTTGCCAACACTTCACTGCACAAATGGCGGCAAATTCAAATCTTGCGTTAATTTTGGGACACCCTTTATATGTATCTCCTCAAGCATCCGTCCGCCAGATCCTCCTGTGCTCAGTTGTCCGAGGGGTCTCATAGTTCTCAAATTCTGGGCCAAAGCAAGAACCTTTGGTCGCTTGTCTTAACAGGTGATCCACTTTCTGTTTCTTTTCCTGATACCCAGGATAGAGTCACGATCTTGGCTTAGGAGGAGCTATCGCCTTTAAAGCCTCTTGGATACGGGAGCATATGTGAAACCTCCGTTTTTGTATGCTGAATATGATATATGTGATGGCGGCAGCTTGTACTCCTTTTCAAATAAAAAACCCTATAATTCGGACTTTATTCCAGTTCCTTGTAATGTCTTTTTCTATGACGTTTTCTGTCTTGTCTGCACACTTCTTCTTAGATTGTGATGCTTTTTAAGTCCAATATAATAAAAATAAATAATCGATTCGTTACTGTTACGGTGTGGGGTTTGGCGTTGTCAACAGTTTTCTGGTCGGGATGCCTCTTTGACCGATAGATAGCTCGATCTTGGTTAACAAAATCGCAGTAAGAAAATTCAGCAATGATTCTACCGGTTGGAATCCGTTCCAATCCCAGAACGCCATGGCTAAAGCCTTTCCGCATCTTTGCTTTCCCCAGCGCACCCTCGGCTGTCAACTTTATGTATACAGAATTTATTCGTAAAACCTCTAAGTTGACCGCTAGCTGATTAGTTTTTATGGTTCTACATGGGAAATTACACAATTTAATTCAGTATCAATGCCACAATAATGAACCCAAGTCTCATAACAAGAGATACAAGTTATCTGCTACACAAATTAAAAAATGACATCAAGTAGATTCACCCTACACTTCGAAGTTATTTCCATTATAATCTAAGTAGTGGAGTTTCATTTATAGGTATATAGTGGAATCAAAAGGTATAGGTTTTGCTGATTAAGGCATTATTGGGCTTTTATTGGCGGTGCAGTGTAAAGCTGTTTGTTATCAATGATTGATAAATGATTATAGTATCTCTTGATAACTTTGAATTCTGGAAAAAACAGTAATTCCGTAGTTGAATTTAAATATCAAACAGTTCCTGAGACTATAGCGATAGGCGTTTCATAATTTTTATTTTGTTGTAGCTCTTCACAACTGACCATAAATAATAGCCCAATAATCAAGTAACCGAGACCAGAGAGACTGACAGACATACCGATAAAAATGGGTGGCAGGGTTTTCGTGATGTACTCCAAAAAATACATCTCGTTTTCGAAAGTTTTTGTGGTTACAATACCTCGACACCAGTGGCGCGTGAAGTAAAAACATCCATAAGAAGCATAGTTCTAACTACTTGATCGATGTTCATTAAAAGGCCGACTTAGTAATCAACAAACCCAAACTTTCTTATCTGATACTGCATTCAGTCACAATGCGTTACTCACTTCCACGTTCATTTCTTTTCTTTCCTCAGCCTTATGAAACCTCAAAAAACGCATCTCGAATTAGACTGTTCGCTCATTTATTACAGTATCTCCTGGTCTATTAGCGTGGGAAGTAACAGTCAATTCAACTCCACATTTCCATTTGGAAACAGATGCTCCATATTTAACAAGTTGACTTCGAAACAAAAAGAGCTTTGTTCAAACGTGGTATATTTTTTGGCAAGTCACTTGCCGGGAAAACCAAAGGCTTCGTTGAGGACTATTTTTGTATCCCAGTAATAATTATATTAAGACGCTTTTAAAGTCCAGCTTGTCTATGATTTTTGATTTATAGTTGTCAGCAGGCAAGGCACAAGTGTGTATTATTTTAGTTTCCAACTTGTGCACCTGTCAAGGTCT